TATATATATGAGTATATTTCTTGAAGCAAAAATTAGACGTCTTCAGAGTATTCAAGAAATTTAAGGTCACTATTAAGAAAGAAAGTGGACTTAATATAAAATATATGTAATCTAAAAAAGGAAGAGAATTCACTTCTAAAGAATTTCAAGAATTCTATGAAGCCAATGTGATACATCGATCTCTAATTGTTCTAGGATTCTCTTAACGAAATAGAGTAGCAAAAAAGAAGAACAAAATCATCCTTAACATAGCGAGGAGCATGCTTAAAAGCAAGAGATTGCTTAAGGAATTTTGGGTAGAAGAAGTATCATATGCATTTTATTTGGCTAACCATTCACCAATAAGAAATGTGTAGGGAATGACTCCACAATAAGCTTAGAGTAAATGAAAGCCCATCATTTCTCATCTAAAAGGTTTGGGAAACATAGGTCATGTGCATGTACTTGACATGAAAATAAATAAGTTAGATGATAAAAGTGAGAATTTATTTTTAACGGCTACGATAAAAGCTCAAAAGGATACAAGCTATATAATATAAATGTTGGAAAGACAATTATAAGTTGATATATCATATTTGATAAAGAAGAAGAACGAGATTGGGGATCACATGATAAAGATTACAAATTTGAAGAAGAAGAAGAAGATAAGGAGAAACTAAGGATAAAGCAAGCAATAGATGAGTCCAATACTCCATCAGTAGCACCAACTACAAATAATAAAAAAAAAAAAATTAAGTGAAAGACTACTACGCATTAAGAGATTACTAGATCTATATGAGGTAGCATAGAATAAAAAAAAATCTTACTCTCTTTTGCCTCTTTGTTGACTATGAGTGCTTGGATTTTTAAAAAGCTATACAAAGTAAGGAGTATAAAGATTCTATGGATGAAGAAATCATGCAAATCAAGAAAAATGACACATGGGAGCTAACTTCACTTCCTTAGGGACACAAGACAATTGGCATAAAATGGGTAACAAAGCAAAGAAGTATGTTAAACTAGAAATTAAAAGATAAAACATAAGATTAGTTGCAAAAGAATATAGTCAAAGTGTTGGCATCGACTATGATGAGGTATTTATTCTTATTGCTTGTTTAGAAATAATTAGACTAATCATTTCTTAGACAAGTCAAAATAAATGAATGATGCATTAAATGGATGTAAAATTTGCCTTCTTAAATGGAATTCTTGAGGAAGGCATCTATAATCAACAACCACTATGATACAAAGTCAAAAGGTAAAAATACAAAGTTTTAAAACTAAAGAAGGCTCTATATGTGTTGAAACAAGCACCAAGAGCATGAAATAGTTAGATAGACAATTACTTGGAACAGAAAGGTTTTATTAAATATCCTTATAAGCATGCTCTTGCATTAAAGATACGAATAAAGATGTTTTATTTATTTACTTGTACATTGATGATTTAATCTTCACCAAAAAAAATCCAATGATGTTTCAAAAATTTAAACAAGCAATGACTAAGGAATTCAAGATGGCGGATACTGGGCTCATGGATTTTTACATGGGCATTGAAGTTATCAAATGAAAGATGGAAGATTTATCTCTCAAGAAAGTTATACAAAGGAGATATTGAAGAAGTTCAAGATGGATAATTGCAAACTATAAATAATCCTATTGAATGTGGAGTCAAGTTATCAAAGTACAATGAAGGGGAATGAATTGATATTACATTTTCGTAAGAGTCTAGTTGGGAGTTTGCACTACTTAACATGCATAAGGCCTAATATTCTTTATACTATAGAACTTGTCAGTCGATATATGGAGACTTCAACTACCAATCGCTTAAAGACTTATAAAAGAATCCTACGATATATAAAATGTACAATTCACTATGGCTTACTCTACTCCTTATTTATCGATGTCAGGCTTGTAGGATATAATGATATTGATTGGGGTGACGATATTAATGATAAAAAGAGCACCACTGGTTATATGTTCTTCATGGGAGATACTAGTTTCACATTGATGCCAAAGAAACAACTAATTGACATTCTACCTACTTGTGAAATAGAGTACACAGCTCCAACTTCCTACAAAATTTAATTAATTTTAAATAGAAAAAAATTAGCGTACCCTCACGAGCCTTCGCGTATCAAGGTTAAAATCATAACAAGATGCAAATCGCCAAAAAATTAGAAAAAGCATGCAACCCTAATTATAATCAAATCAAATCAAACACATGAATCAATTAAATTAATTTCTTAAAATAATATCCATAGGCAAGTGCCCTATTTATTACAACCAAGAATTACATAAATTAAAAGTGGCCAGGCACCACTAACTATAGACCCAGATTCTAATCCTAGGACAGACGCAAGTGACTTTGAGTGGGATACTCTATGACATTAATTCCTCGATCTCCTCCTCTTTAGGCTCCTTGGATTCATCATATCTGGATACCGAAATGGAAAAGAAAACTCTTCCCCCAAGGGGGAGGTTATTCTTTTCCCCTTTGGGTATTAAAATGATCCAAAATTGGGCTTCAAAATGGAAAAGAATTATCCCCCATGAGAGTATTATTTCCTTTTTGTAATCCAATTTTGGATACATGTATCCCAACTCAAAGATTAACTTTCACAACTCTTAACTTTGAACAAATTACATTTATATAAAAGTAAAAATCTAGACTCTCCTGCAAGGTTATTCTAAGCATTTAATAATTAAATAGATTCCAAGCAGTTTATATATATGAACAATAAAAGATAAATCACACTTGAGCACACTCTTATTTACGTGGGGGCTAAGCGGCTGAAACACCTGCAGCAATTATAATAATTATTAATTTAGCTCCTTTCTATTGCCTTCATGAGCGTGTCCATCTGCAGAAAATTCAACGAGCAATCAAATCGATCATAACCTAAGAATAAACTATTATCCATCACATCAATTCACAGAGTGCAGTAAAAAATATGAATTAATCATACCACGATGCACATCATATTGTATAATTAGTTTTCTAAATTAATTTAATTAAGCCAAAAAATTAAGTGGGCAATAAATAAAATCTAGTATAACAAATCATACAATGTGATGTCAATTATACTGGATATTTAAATAGAGTTTTATTTTATAATATTTATTATTTAAATTAATTGTACTATACAATTAGGTCATATTTTTTTGTTTCCACTTTTCTTCCACCTCATATCCTCAAGTATTTTGCTATTATTTATGGAGATTTGTTGCTTTGTCAAGTTTTGTAAGAGATGAGAGAGATCTCAAGCTTCCTATTGTAAGAAGCTATGGACTAGACAGTGGGCTAGTGTGACATTTTTCCCATTAATAAAAGTCTTCTCCACCTAATTATAGCATGAGAGAGTAGTAAATCCTTGAGAAGGGTGTCCTAAGATGTGGCCATAGGCACTAGTGTTAAATCAAGTGAAAATTTAAGTGGGCTTCTTTTCTTTTTTTCTCTTTATTTTCTTATTGCTACTACATGTCTTGCATCATTTCTATCCTTATGAAAAATGTGATTGAAGATTATATTAATACCTTTTGATCTAATTTTATTTTATTTATTTTTAATTTTAATTTATTGAACAGCATAAAAATTTTAGACATTCAAAACATTTTTTAATTAATATTTAAGAAAAGTGGATTTTTCCCTCCCCTTTGGTCTGAACATACACTTTAATTGATATCAAAGATGATCACTTTATAAAATGTTTCATCTCCTTAAGTAGATTCTAAAATGGAACATAACAAAAAATTATCTCCTTGGAAAGATATTCCATTATACGACCTTCTTGATTCAACAGCATATCATTTATCTTTTAAAAATTTCGCATGATTACCTTTATTCGATCATTTTATTATTATTATTATTTACCTTTATTCAATCCATAGTTCACCACATATGAGACAACTTTCAAGTCGAATATGCACCTCCATACAAAGGGTAAATTATTAGATTCGGTCATCAGACCTAAAAATAGGTTCAGACATCCAATAAAAACTTGCCACATGAACTACGCTTTGATTGCATTTTTTTACTGCACTTTAATTGCACTATTGACTGCGCTTTAATTGAACTATTGACTGCACTTTAGGTACACTTTACCTGCGCTTATGATGCACTTGACTTAAAATAATATTTTATTGATGTCCGGACGTATCTCTACGTCCGGTGACCGGACCTAATAATTTGCCCATACAAAGACTTTTTTTCTAGAACAACTTTATTATTGCTTTCTAAAACAACTTTCTAGTAAAAAATCTTCTAGGCTTCGTTTGGGATAACTTTTTTACTACTACTTAAAACAGCTTTCTTGTACAAAAATTAAATTTTTTGAACTTAAAAAACTGCTTTAAGAAGCAGTAGAAAAGTCGTCTCAAACGAAGCCTTGGTTCAAAAATTTTTGTGCTAATAAATTGCTTTATGAAAATTGTCCCAAACTAAGCTAAAATCAATAGCAAAAAATTTGCTTGGTTTGTCATTAAAAACTTCCACCTGTTACTGATAGATATAGAGGTTATTACAAGAGAACAAAATCAAACACCAACAACAATTTAAATACTCCACAGATTTTCATATATTATTCATACTAAAAAATGAATAAAAATAAAATCATTATTTACTAAAAGTATATTTTCTATTTACATGTAAAACGATCAAATGAGCCCTAAAAATCATAATGTGCAACAAGCTTACAATTCAAAGAGATCCCGAAACTGTAACCCTAATTAAAGACCAACTGATGATAAGTCAAATCTTGCCCCCATTTAGAATGCCCAAACTATAAAATCCTGAAAGTTTACAAGTTAATGAATGTAATTAGAACCCATAACAATATGTAGTTTACAACAAGAACACAAATTAATAAAATTATTCCAGTTACATTCCTAAACAGAAACCCCCTTCAGAGATGCCCCGTTTCAACCCAAGCTTGAATTATTACCAGAAGATGATCTCATTAATGGCTGATGATTGGATGTGTTAGCCACACCGGAATTGAACATCACGTTTTGAGAAGATGGTGATGAGGATAGATGGAGAGCAGAGAGTGGTAGCCGCGGCGCAAGCGAGAACATTTGCTGCCTTTGCATGTATTGTATGTGAGGATGAGGCATATTGTTTCCATAAGGTGAGAGACTCACCTGCCCGCTGGCGGCCGGCAGCGCCGGTGTTATTGGGTTTACATGCCCAGTGGAAGCTGACAGAGCACCTCCTACTGATGCAGCTGGTGCAAAGCATGCGGACATCATCCGTGCGCGCTCGGCTGAAAGCCTTTGCCTCATCCTCTCCGCCGGTTCGCATTCCTTCAACAACAATGTTTCCACCTCTGCAAACTGCTTCAGCTTCAACTCCGTTCTCTTTAACTGCAACAGGAGGATAAGAAGTGAGTTTGGACGTTCATAACATTTAAAGGCTTCGTTTGGGATGGCTTTTTTACTGCTTCTTTAAACAGCTTTTTAGTTAAAAATTTAAATTTTTTTACCAGAAAACTGCTTTAAGAAACAATAAAAAAACCGTCCCAAATGAAGCTTAAGTATTAAAGTCAACCACATTCTGGTGCCAACATGAGAAGCAATTAAAATTTTGAAAACATTGCTAAATGATGGATGGGTTCACTTAGCAGGAATGATCTTACAACAGATCTGTTCTGCATTCTTTATGTACCACAGATGACCGAAGTTACAACATATAACAATATGATAAACATTCAGCTGAGATATTTTTGGTAGATTCCTCTCATTAGATCCAACACCCAAAGTTAAATTCATAAAAAGAAACTTACAAAGGGCTAAGCAGGCAACCAGGTTCCAAATGCAATGTAACGGAAATAGTAAAAGCAGCAGGATGCCATCTTGAACATTTTGGTTTCACAAAGAAAATTCATTTGAGAGAATTGGTTTATCAAAGAAGATACAAATAACAAACACCGAAATTTAATTAGATTAGTTAACAGATCTGAAGCAAACAAAAAGTTATAATCAAATTTAGCAACCTTCGCATAAACATCTAATGCAATATGGCTCAAGGTTAGGGCCTACTAATGCAGCTAAAATATAACATGTGATATGAATTTATGCAGAAAAAATGTGGATTCACAAATCACATGACACCAATTAATTCAACTAATTTTCATCAGATGTAGACAGAAAATACTAAAACTATAACACAATCAATAATAAAACACTTAAAATTATAAAATAAAAATAAAAAAAGGGAATAAAAAATCAGTGAAAATTTTTAATTTAATGTTCATAAATTAAATTTTCATGTCAAGTTCTTATCAAAATAAAGATCACTACATATGTCGACATCAAATAATGCAGACCAAGAAAAATAACAAATGAAAATGCTAGAGTAAGAAAAAATAAGCCTCATGCTGGCGAAGTAGATAGCTTCCTCCAGAATGAAATAGGCACACTTGTAATACTCAATGAAATCATACATCTAACGTACATTCACAAAATTGAAACCAGGAAAAGAAATACTTATGCAAAAATAATTTTTTTTTACTAACATACCTCCTAAGAACTATTTATAAACTCCTCAACTGAGCTAGTAAATATAGTTGGCTTAATATTCAACTTAAGCTATATTAAAATTAAGATCCAAAAAGATAATAACTAGTTCAAATTTTGTTATTTTTCAATGCAAGCTCTTCCTGTTAGCCGCCAATTTAAAATTCCAACATATATGCATCCACACCATGAAAAAAGCTGCAAATACCTATGTTGCACCGATACGGATACGGCGACACGGATATGACACAATACAGATACGGGACACGACAATTCTTAAAAATACATGATACGGATACGGCATTATAATATATAAATCATGCATAAAAAATAACAAATTAACAAAAGCATAATATTTGAAATGACAAAAAAAATTGAAAGCAATATCATTTGTAACATTGTATCTTATAATATCAAAATAAAAGTAAGCATTAAATATTTAAATGTCTAGTACAACAACAAAAAGAAAAACATAAATTGTCCAACAGATGAAATTTGAACTATTCAATAGAAAGAATGATAGGATTAGCTTCTTCAGTGGTTTGTCTTTGAATTTCTATATAATTTTCAATGAATATCATAGCTTCCAATTCAAGCTTATCAAGTGAAAGATTAGCAATTTCTAATATTTTCATATCCTCAAGAGATTCAAATCCATCTCCAGCAACATCCCACATTATGTTGTCTCCTTCCATATAAGTTGAAGTTTTCCTTGAGAGAAGCCGAAGGTTTGTATGCATATAAACTAAATCTTCAGCCCGTTGTGGAGTAATTTTATCTCTTCATTGATTGGATAAACAAGTATGTGCTCCAATTTCTTTCACAACAAGATGAGGATGAAACTTAGCCAAGCAGTTTTATGGCGATTGTTTGAAGTAGAGGTGCTGAAGCTCCATGTATAATCTACCATATTTTTGGATCAATTCTCTACCTATCACGCAAGGACTATTGATCACCAAAGTCTTCTAAATAACTAAAAAATTTAACAAGCTCAATATTGACACTTCTTCTCTCCTCATTTGGAAAATAACGCTCCAAACATGTCTTCCTCATATTTGAAATTTTTAAATCTTTCTGTGGATAAACTCTTTGAGGATCCTCTTGAAGTCATTCTTTAGTTGAATATCTTCAAAGAATATTAAAAACAAATAATAATAAAATGTTGAAATTACTAAACAACAAATTGTAAATTAATAATGAAAAAATGTTAAAATTTACCTGGGATTTAGTGAGTGAGCCAAGCAATGCAAAGATGTATTATTTTTGCTCCACCTATATTCTAGAATAGCATAAATAACATCCCAAAAGCTTGAGTCTTCATGAAGAGCTTTCCTCTCATGTTTATATATAATTTCTTTTACTTTGGCTAGCATTGAATCCCGCACTCATAAATGAGATGTAAATAAGACTTATCCGTATCCGCTACTCTCAACATCTCATAAATTTGATCTGTGAAGTTTAAGATGTATTCAATCTCATCCCACCATAAATCATCTAAAAGCTTCTCCTTTACATACCTAGCCTTTCCAACATCATCTTCCCTATAACAGGACCATTTGTCACTGATCACCATAGCTTGAAGAGCATTTTTAATTTTTTTTAATCTTCTCAACATCACTATAATTGAGGCAAACCGAGTTTCAGCAACTGCAAGAATCTTCAAATTTGAAAAATCATTGAGCATAGAGAGTCTCATAGATTGATTCATAATAAAATTCATAATTACAACTACATCTCCAGCAATCACTGTGATCCAATGACATTCATTGTAGGTGATTTCGTTTGCCTCGGTATTCTTAGCTGCACAAATGTTCTTCAAGACAAGATTAAGCGTATGCACAACACATGGTATCCAAAAAATATGAGGATATGCTTGCTCTACAAGTAGACCTGCAAATCTACAAACATGTGCATTATCAGTAATGACCTAGATGATGTTTGAAGGCCCCACCATCATAATAACTTCTTTGATTAAATTAGAAATGAAGAACTTATCCTTATACTGTCCTTCACAATTTACAGTTTTGATAAACATAGAATAGCTCTCTGTTACAGCCATGAAGTTGATAAGTGGTCTTCTTTGTGGATCTATCCACCCATCACAAACTAAAGTAACTCATTTTTGCTTCCAAACTCCTCTAGTAGGCTCAAGAAACTTCTCAATATTATCCCTCTCTTTGCAACAACTTCGTTCAATTGACATTATATCCTGGTGGCACGTATCCTGCAAGATTATTATTGCATGCATAGGTAAAGGCATTCTTGTAATGTGGATTCCTTGCTAGGTTAAAAGGAAGCCCAGCTGAGTAAAATATTCTAGCCATTTCCCCATCTAGTTGTTCTCTTATTTATAAATTAAATGATTTCTCAAATGAGCTTATATTCGGGCATACTTTAATTCCATGACCACTAATCTTCAACAAATGAGCTGTCACTCTATAATATGATCTTTTGTATGTGCCATTACAAAAATTGCATTTGAATGCAATATTGTCACCTTCTTCTGACGTTTTATCTATTTTTATCACATAACTCCACAGAGGTTTGTTATCTTCAATATTGGTCTCTGATGGGCCATCAGTAGACTCAATTCCTACACCATTAGAGCTCAGTATCCTACGAAGGTCCGACACAAATTAATTCACATGAATTTGAAACATGAAAATTTTTAATTAAAAGTGTATATATGTTGCGCCTATGCCAGGGGTCCAAGGGGGTGCTGCCCCCTGGCGGGGTTCGACCTGCCAGGGTTGCTTTAAAGTTTTCTCTACCTTCTCGGTATTGCTTAGTACCATTCGATACCCCTTTGTACCGAGCAGTACCAAGCGGTACCGAGTTCTAGTATCGCTCGGTACCGAGCGATACCGAGCAGTACTGAGTTCTAGTATCGCTCGGCACCGAGCGGTACCGAGTAATAACGAGTACCGAGCGGTACTCGGTGGTACTGAATACTAAGCGGTACCGAGTACCAAGCGGTACCGAGTTCTAGTACCGAGCCTACGATTAAGAAAACAAAGAAAACGAACCTTTAATGCTCACGTTTCCTTTACTGTTTGTGTTGTCGAGCCACTTTGTCGACGAGGATTGTGTCAGCTTTAATGCTCGAGTCGTCGAGCCCCTTTGTTGACGAAGGATGATCCTGTCCGCTTCTATGCTCGCGTCGTCGAGCCACTCCTTCGACTATAACGAAGAAGACAAACACCTGTGCAGAAACGAAAAACCTAGCTCGTCGAAATATTTAAGCCGCATAAATGAATAGGGAAATCGAGCGGATAACCGAAATGAATAGGGCAAATTACAGCTCTGTTTTGTTTTTTTTAATAGGACACACGTATCCGATACGCATGTCCGATCAAATTTAAATAATATTTTAATTGGACACGGCAAAGTCGTATCCGTGCTGTATCAGAGGCGTATCCGTATCAAACACGTGTCCGATACAGCATGCCTCGTAAATAGGCGTATCCGTGAAACATAGGCAGATACAAGTAGAAATTCAGAGGCTACCAAAAAGAATTGTGCATGTATAATAGAAGATGCAAAGCCAAATACCAGCTAGCAAATCCTAGCAAGCAAATATAACCCGCATCCTACCCATAAGTCCAATAGTGTGAATTAGCATATTTGATTCGCTACAGGAAAAATGATCATTACTAGGCAGAAATTCAGCCAGAAATTCCCCTTGTAATCAATTATTTCGACTGAATTACTGGTGAATTTTTATCGAGAAACTTAATTTCTAACCAAAAAAATTCTCCATCATTACCGTCGGAAAGAGCCATATTTCTTCTCAAACCCATTCCCATATCTCATTCCACATTTTGTTCTCCCGAAATCGCACCTCTACC